GGATGCAACCCAAGCAACACAAAATCGTCTAATAGACGTTTAATATTTGTCTATACCAATGGTATATCATTGGTTTATTGTCTACCTCTAATATAGGTTAAAATGTCCGCCTAATATAGGTTGATGCATATTATAGCAATATCCATATTTTAAACGTCTACACTATACGTTTATTTATAATACAAACTTGACAATTAAATATCTGTTTTATATAAAGGTTACATTTTAATATATAATATACCAAAATTGAACGTTTATCAAAAACTTCTAAAAGCCATAAACGATATACGTTAATATTGAATATTATTTTAAGGTGAAATTTTTTACATAACATTATTGTTTAGGCCGCGGCTCTGCTAATCTGGATAAAGAAAATAAAAACAAAAGTTTTTATATTTGAATGATTTTTTAATATTTTTAGCTCTAATAATTCCATTTTCATTAAATTAAAATCGTAAAACCATGCATGGTTTTACGGTTATCAATGCATTGATAATTAAAATTACAGTAAAATTTACTATATTTATTCTTTGCATTTAATTTAAGTGCGGCATATTCTTTCCAGATTTGCAAAAACTTACCTAAGTGTAGTAGAAACTCCAAGGTAAAAAAAAAGTTTAAAAAGAAACTGAGCAGATGACAAACGAATATATTTTCATAAATAATTATTTATTATTTTAAAATAACTAATTAAACAAATGTTAAGTTTTAAGATCATTGAATCATTGCTTTGATAATTTGAGCCAATCTTGACAGGCTTGTCCTATGGCTTTGTCAGTTATTTCCCTGGACTTGATCTTTTCCTTGAAAGGACAGTTTCACTGCCTCTGTAAAACAGTAAAAAACAATGTTACTAAAAAGTGCGACTGTTTACGTATATTTTAAATAACTTTTAACTTTTTATTCTGTGGTAAAATAAAAATATAATAAATAATAAAAAAACACAATTCGTATTTTTAAGTGGTTATAATGTACGTTTATAAATAGTATACCATAAACCAATAATAGATCTTTAAAAAAATAAAAAATATTGATTATTTTAAAAATTCTAAAGTGATGTTAACCTAATCCAAAAATAAACCATCTAATTTAATGCAAAACGAATATGTCGCATGGTTAAAACTTCTGCAAAGGTTACGGATTTTTGCCGGCTTCGTCAAATAAAAACACCAATTATTAGTTATTTGGTGCAAATTAAGTAATCTGAAATTTCAATTAAAGTATGTATACTTACTTTATTAGCTGTATTCCCACCACACAATACAATAAATTAATCGCTATCCACTCACAGTAAACAGTAAACATAACTTATACGGCAGCCATTATCAACACAGGACACATGTGACCGGTAACGGCAAAATGAAGCGTCTAGAAGGAATGATCACGTGACACGCGCCTATTGGTTTAAACAATCGTCTTAGGTACGAGTAATACCGAAACAGTGCGAACCATGAACATATGTTTACAAGTATTATGAAAACTGAAGTTCAGTTACTGAACCACGTAGAAAATTATTGGTACCTATAAGTAACGTTTATTTTTAGGAAAACGATAGACAACTTTATTTTTATTTAGGTACAAAATCAAATATCCAGCTAATACTATATGACATAAACATTGTTTCTATCGCTAACAAATTTGTTAGCGGTGATAAATACATTTAAATATTACTTGGCTTACAACAACAACAAAATGTATAGACGTAGATTTCTCGTATTTTTAGACGTTGAGCTTACATAAAAGTATATATATAAAAAAAACGTTTACAAAACACTTGAATGTAAACAAATTTGATAAGGGTAAATAATTCTAAATTCTTATTTATATATAAACATGCTTTATAGTTGTTTTTATAATATATATATAGATTGGGTGATTAATATAAATTTATATATTAAATTGATAATTTTATGATTTAAAAATAGTATATCAAAAACGTAGAATATACGACTGCAATATGTACGTTTATAAAAAACGCTTAATATATGTTAAATAATTATACCAAAACCAAAAATATACGATTAAATGGTTTATTATACGTTTATTAAACGATTATGCAAATGAGTGTGTTGCTTGGGAACCTTGGATTTTTCACCGAACAGGAAAACAGATATTTCTCCATCAGAAGAAATCGCTCTTAAGTAAACGCAACAGGCATAACCCTTTTCACTACTGTCACAAAACCCATGGAGCTCAAGCTGACATGAGTTAATGTCCAAATATCTAGGTATTTTAACTCCATTCAAGCAAGCAAGTTCCGACTTAAACTGTGACCATTTTGCAATGACCTCAAGTGGAGGGGGTTCATCCCACTCTATCCCAATCGACCACAATAACTGAATTAAATGTTTGGCAAATAACGACAAGGGAGCTAAAAATCCCAAGGGATCCCAAATTCTGCCAATATCCGATAAAATTGATCGTTTAGTGTGGTTAGAATTACCTTGACTACTACTATGAAATGCAAAGCTATCGGATAAAGGAAACCACTAAAGTCCTAATATTTTTAAAACTCTATCCTCCGAATCAAACTTAATGGTTTGGCAATGCTCTGGAGATCATTTGCGCATCTCAAATTTACCCCTTTTTAAAAGTTCAACGAGCTGAGACTGCAGCTCTTGAGCGTTTTCGATAGTATCCGTCCACATACAGAGAAGAACCCAACGCCCGGGCGGCTAACGGAAAATCATGACCTTCCTCTTTAACTAGTTGTGCGATAGTGCGCATGGCTAGATAAGGTTAAGACGAGAGACCAAAGGTAACGCGAGTTAAACGATATTCTTACATAGGATCATTCCCCTAAAAACGCCAAAGAATTCTTTGAAAATCTTGATGAGATTCTTGTACTATGATTTGCCGAAACATCTGCTTTATATCACCAGTTATTATGAAATTGGGCAAACGAAAGTTTAACAACAAAGAAGCGATATCCGCCTGGGTTTTTGACCTACCAATAGATTGTCATTTAAAGATTTATTGTTTGACGATTTACAACTACCATCAAAAACAATTCTAAGTTTGGTACTGGTGCTTTCTGGTTTCCAGACAGCATGGTGTGGAAGAAAGTAATGAGGACTATCATCAAGGGGTGTAACCTTTACTAGGTGGTTACAATTCAAATAATCCCTGATTACTTCCGAATAAAGTTCTTTCAAGTCCGGTTCTTTAGCGAACTTGCGTAACAAAGTATGAAATCTCTTTAATGCTGCCGATCTAGATTCACCCAAATCTACATTGGAATCCCGAAAAGGCAAAGCAACTATAAAGCGCCCATCTGGATTACGATGAGTTGAATCCATAAACATCTTCTCGCACAAAACATCGTCAGGAGAAAGATGATGTGAGTGCGGAACCTCTTCAACTTCCCAAAACCTTTTCAGGTCAAACGGCTCGACGGTGGTTACTAAGGAAACTGTGGGTGAAGGTTGAGAAACCCTTCCCATGAGAACCCATCCATCCATTTATTACCGTTGGCTGACCCTTTGACCCAGGAATTTTCCCAGATTAAATAGTTTGTGAAAAGACATCTGCACCTAAAATCATATCAATAGCCCCTGGCCTACCAAACTGAGGGTCTGCTAATTGTAGATTTTCTATGTGGTTCCAACGTGAAGAATTTAAACTATTAACTGGAACAGGTTCGACGAAAATAACGGGATTGTCCTTAAAATGAGGTCTAATCTGACATTGGGTCATACCTTGTGACATTACTGGAGAATTAGTATTGATACCTGTGACTGTGGAAAGAACATTATTTTTTGAAAGACCCAGCCGAGTGACACATTTTTGTGTCATAAATGAAACCATACTCCCTGTATCTAATAAACAACGAACTGGTTTTAGAATATTAAAGGAGTCTCGAATGCGTACAACTACTGTTGACAGTAAAACCGAAGAGTTCCAAGTGGCAGAAAGTGAAACATTACTTGCTTCACCCAAAGTCGCAGAACTCGTATTGGGTTCCAAACAATTTTGATTGGATGAAGCATTGGCATTCTCAAAATGGAGAAGTGAGTTATGTTTCTGACGACAAGTTTTGCAAGTAAACTTGGACTCACAATTTCGGACATTGTGCGAAGATCTAACACATGCAACCCAGCATACATCAAGTAAACAAATTATAAATATAATTCTAAAAACCCATATTTGAACATTCTTTATATTGAAAAAACAATAAATAATTTTCTCTTCCTACAAATTGGTTATATTCCAGGAATATGCTCTATCATCTAGAGATAATCCGATTCATTCTAGGAATCTTCATTGGGAATATTCCATAGAATGATCCTCTAAAACAAATTGGTTATATTCCAGGAATATGCGCTATCATCTAGAGATAATCCGCTTCATTTTAGGAATCTTCATTGGGAATATTCCATAGAATGATCCTCTAAAACTTCCATCTAAGAACATTCCCAGTGAATATTCTTGAATATTCTTGAGTTGCAATACCTCTCACCGTTGCTTAGGCACGCTTGATAACTATACCGATATACCGATAGGTTAAAAATATCACTTGGAGATGTGCGTCTGTAATGGCACAGCTAAACAATGATTAGAGTGGGACTGATCTACTCAGTAACTAATAATGGCTAGTTAAGTTAAGTTCCTGGGTATAAGTGGCCATTAGGGCTAGGAATAATCCCCAAATTATATTAAGGTACATTCTCCTAACAATACTTAAGTCTTATGCATGCCGCTACATGGAATATTCTTTTAATGATGACTGGGTTAACCAAAAAGCGGACATTTGATTACGCCAGGAATATTCCTGGGAATATTCTGGTACGCTTGGAATAATCCTGGGAATATTCCTGACATATGCAGGGAATGGAATTTTGCGGTCTGGGCTGTTTGCACGATTGTGATCTGCAGACGTGTTGTCAGGGGTACAAATATATGTATAAAGTAAGTATATTAATAATATTAATTATTAATAAAAAATTATAAGTATTAAAAAAACATCAATTTTTATTTTATTTAGAAAGAACTTAAGTATTTTAACTACATAAAATGCTTTTCCAAACTTTCAAATTCTTCATCATATGTTTTCTTAAAGTTTTTACAATTTTTTGTTTTGGGGTATGACATTTTTGATTGTTTATTTTTTTTAATCTTTTCTTGTATGCCTAATTCTGTCTCTGATGAAATCTTGCACATTCGTGTATCCATATATTGAATGCTTTTGTTGAAATTTAAGGATTCAATTATTAAGATGCCTGATTCCTAAAAAATAAAGTAATTCGGTTATTAAAAAACCTCACAAGATCTTTCTAATTAATCATCCACGGTCATGTGATATAAAACCACCAATCAGAACAACCTACGCTATTATTATTTCGCCTCAAAGCAAAAGATAAACGCGAGCAGTTCGCGGCGAACTTGGATGATATATTTAGCATTTAAATAGGAGCTTCCCTATTGAAAATGCCATATAGAACCATATAAAAAACACGTATCTGGATTCTATATGGTTTCTATCTGGTTCAATATAGGTATTTGAAACAGGCATTTCACTATAGAACCAGATAGAAGATTACATTATAGAACCAGATAAAAACACTCTTAAACACTATAGAACCAGATAGGGAAGCCTATCTGGAAATACATATAGAACAGAAACTAGATAAATCCATATACATCCATATACATGTCTTTTTAAAGACATGTATATGGTTGTATATGGATTTATCTGGTTTCTGTTCTATATGTATTTCCAGATAGGTTTCCCTATATGGTTGAATATGAAATTTTTTAAAATGGAAATCCATATTCAACCATATAGAATCCGTAATGTAAACCAGGACTTTCCATATAGGACCTATAAAACCATATAGAACCAGACCAGATTTGGGTACTGGGTTTTGGTCAAAAATCACGAAGATTTCGGTTCATTAAAACGTTTGCAGGCGAATTTTTTGAGTCTGCCAAATTATTTCTAAAGTCTTGCATTGCTAAATAAATGTCACGGTCATTTTCCTTACATTCTTTTTTAAATATTCTTAACAGTTCTAACATAACGTTTGATAAACCCTTTACTCTGGGCAAACCTTGGAAAACTTGTGATATGCTGGATATTACAATCATTAGTAAATTTCAGTGAACTCTGAAACTCAGAGCCTCCATTCGTACAAAGTATTCGCGCTATTGCATCCTGCATTTGAAACTTCTTTGGTGGCGTTCTGATATTTGACGAGAATGGAGAGTGAATTGGAAAAAATGTAACGTTCCGAGATTTCGTTACACGAGAGAGAAAAAATATATAACGCAGAAAGAAGGAGAAAAAGAGCTATATGAGTGAACCCGAGTGAATCCGATCGCCCCTCCCCAGATTGTAAGCAGATTGACGGCCGCAAAATACTTTATTGGTGTCATTACAAAAAAATATGTTTACACAGGTCAATAAAATCACAAATACATTCAACGATATATAACAATACAATTAAGGTATATGACAATACAATTAAGGTCACTCACTCATCCGAGAACCCCTCAAAATGCGATATCGAAATCTCACACCCCAGGAACTCCTCGAGCGAGTAAAACGCCCTATTAAACAAAAATCTTTTTATGATACCCCGGAACACATTCTGATCCAGCTCTGTTATTTTCTTAGGTATTTTATTATAGAACTTTGGTGCTAAGAAACTTATACTCTTTTGAGATTTGGTCAATCTAAATTGAGGAGTCCTAAGATCATTCTTGTTTCTGGTATTGTATATGTGGTTTATGTTATGGTTAAATTTATTAAAGTTTAGTTTTGTATATTTTAAGATTTCGTAAATGTATAAGCTTGGAAAAGTTAATATTTTATGTTCTATAAATTTTGTTTCACAATCATCTCTGTAGTTTAGGCCACATATTACCCTTATAGCTCTTCGTTGTAATTTAAAAATTCGTTGCCATTCCCCTGCCTGTCCCCACACAAGAATTGAGTATGATAGCAGAGAGTGACACAACGAGAAATAAACATTTTTAAGTATATCGAAGGACAAACAGTTTGATAGGCTTCTGAGCAGAAATATGTTTTTTGACAGTTTAACTGAGAGAGAATCAATGTGTTTGTCAAATTTTAGTGTTTTGTTAATATAGACACCCAAAATTTTTTAAAAATCCTGAAGGCCATGATTGACATCATCACTGCTCCTCATTAGGGAGAACAAAATGGAGACTGTTTTTTCATTATTAAGAGTTAATTTATTACCTGTAAACCATTCCTGTGCCCTCGATCGCGCCCCCCTCGACCTTTCCATTGCCACATTTAAATTTTTATCATGGACTGTTAAAGTAGTATCATCTGCAAATAGAATATGTTTGGCTAAATTATTAAATTGTGGCAAATCGTTGCAAAATATTAGGAATAATAGTGGACCTAGGATAGACCCTTGGGGTACGCCATGTATAATTCTTTCTTTACTTATTATTCCATTTATTTTTACACGCTGGTATCTATTATTTAAATAAGATTGTATTAAGTTAGTGGCATTGTTACTGAAGTTATACATTTTTAGTTTTTTATTAAGAAGGTCGTGGGGTACGCAATTGAAAGCCTTTGAAAGGTCACAAAACACCACCATTGTGTATTTTTTGTCCTCAAGACCCCCACATTAAGCCCAAAGATATCCCTACTACTTGTTCTTTTTAATGAGTCTATAATTTCTCTGACTTTAACACTTGAAATTGGTTCAAAAGAAAATAATGGTATTGAAGATGCTCTAGCATCATCATACGCAAAACCCTCGATATAATTAAACAGTGGTTGCTCTAATTTTTCCATAAGATTCTTAGCTATATTTATAAAGAAATTATTAAATTTGTCTGGTGAAATATCACAGATTTCATTAATTTTAGACTTTTTTCTTTTTTCGTTTACAATATCCCACATAGTTTTAATATTTGATTTTGAATTTTTGATAATGTTATCATTATAATTTGTTTTAGCTTCCTTTATTGCCTTTTTGTATATACCTTTAAAGTTTTTTTTTCGCTTTTTGTAGTGTTATATCGTTTGGGAAACCTTTACAAAAGTCATTTAGTAAATGAAAATATTCTCGCATGTTTCTGAGTAAGTTGTTAAACCAAGCTTTATTGTAGCTTGATTTATTTTTTTCAAGGGTAAAGTTTTTTTCTGGAAAAGAAATCTCAAAATTATTTACAAGGATATTTAAAAAGTCTGTGAATCTTGTGTTTATATTTTCGTTGTTATTTTTAATAAAATCCCATGATATCTCACCAAGCAAAGTGTAGAACAAATTAGTTCCTTTTAAAGTTATAGGGCGGTATGTTTTTTTAATTAAAGTGTTTTTTAATTTTAGCGTTTTTGTTGGATTAAAAGAGATAGATTGTGCTAGTGTGAGGGGCCAATGGGGCGGGGTCGGTTGGGTTGGGTTGTTAAGTTTGGGTAGGTTTGGTATGGCACAATGCAGTGTACCTGCATAACCAAGATGACAACTATTCGTCATAACCTTGAGAAATACCTTGCTACATTTAGCCTCTAGTGTATTATCGCGCTATAACGTGCATACAATGATTCGCGCCTTTAAGACATACGTCAATCTGTTTGTTTGGTTATTATTATTATTATTTTATATGTACATACAAAGAAAGATCACCTAGAAAGCTCATTGCAGAGTGCTTATTCGTATGCGGTGCGTTAACAACTTAGGGAACGGAGATGCAGGTCTCGCTTCCGTATCCTACACGATTAGCGCACTCGGTTGCGCTAGCCCTATAGGAGACGGAAAAATGCGGCCCGGGAAATAGTTCCCTTACAGGGCCCTCCCACGCCTTAAATTTTATGTCTTAGAAAAATGGTTGGGGAACTGGTTTGGGTGTTGTGTTTGTGTTATTAGCGTGCTGGGACTAAAATTTCTCACATTCCCGAGTTTATAAGAAGTTTCACTTCTACCACGTGTACGATGCTGCACATGATTTTTAAATTAAATAAGAATATTGACTTTGTTCAATTAAATACTTAATTAAAATCTTACCTCACCAATGCTATTATTAGAAATGTCTAACATTTGAATACTTGTATTTGATTTTATCATTTCCTGTAGGCCAAAATTTTTGGTAATGCCACAACTGCTAATGATCAAAGTTTCAAGAATAACATCCTTAATGGCCAAGGTCTGCATAATAAAATTAGCACCCTCATTGGAAATTTTATTTAATCTAATATCTAATAAGTTTAATTTACAACTTGGCTGAGATAATCCATAACATAAGGTTTTAGCACCGAACGAACCTAAAAATTAATACAAAATGAATATAAATGTTTAAAATTTATTTCTAATGCAAAAAATTATAAGCTTTAAATTATTATAACAATGTTTGGCACCAACACAATGAAAGTACTTTTAAGTAATTACTTACCAGTGGCGTAGCTAGCCACGGGCGTATCAAAAATCTAGTAGGAGCCCTTATAAGGGAAAAGCTGCTGGAAAAAAATTTCTGGGAGAACCGCCCAAAGTCTATTTTAGGCAAACAAACAAAAATTTTAACTTCTGCTCCAAAATGTTATGAAAATCGTAATTTAATGTTTTATGTGTTTTAAATTAAAATTCTTTTTGTTTAAGGTCAAAAAAATATATCGGGAGTAAGAGTTGTGACCCGTAAATATTTGTTTAATCAAATGCAGAGGCAAAACTTGCCTAATTTGGAAGAAAAGTTAAATTTCTTACAAAAGAAACTTTTGTCATTTGAATGATATTCGGATAACCAAATTAAGAGTTTAAAACAACATTTCTCGCCCTTTAAATCCCAATTGAAATTAAGATGGTTAAAAGCTCATTATAAAGAAGACATTTTCCGAAAAAGTAACGTTTCATGGTTAGAAGGAACCTTTGAAATACCCGTGGTTGCTCAAAATCGGTCAGGCCATCCACACAAAACTTTCTCAGAGTGTACTGAAAGGACTAAGCGAAAAAAAACAGAAGAAATTCGATCATTTGTAGTCAAAGAAGTCATTGTTCATGTTGCTCAGGTTGGGTTAAACAAAAGTGGACAAGGAGAGGCTTCAGCTATACTTAAAGATAACTACTACTAGTCCAACACGTGCAACCAAATATAAAAGGGCATTATCAGAATCAAGAAGCATTAACAATGTTTATAGAAGCCGATCTACACTGTTCAAAATTTCATGACCATTTTAACACCAAATTAACACCATACGTGGTCTATATCGATACAAACCAAAATGGTGTTAAATAAGGTTCGTTGGTCCGGTGTAAATTCAAATACTAAAATGGTGTAAATTTAACTTTCACACAGTGTTAAAATAAATTTTACCTGGTGTAAATTGAACACCTTTTCAGTGTTAAATATAATGTGTTTTTGGTCAAATTAAATCATACTACACAGAAAAAAAGGAAACAGGAAGTTCCTTGATGCATTACAAGTATATTACCAGTGGTATTATTCCAGAAAATTGAACCTTCAACTCGCTAGAGATAATGTTTTTAGTGCGTTCCACCAACTTAAAATACTTCAAGTATGGACAGCTGTTTCCACCTATTTAGTATCGAACAACTTGTAGTGTCACACCAAAGCAAAGGACTACCTGAGCTTATATACTCTTCATGTAAGTCAACAGAGGCGAGATTTAAGAACATCACGTGGTATACACACCGTCTTTGCCGCGATCGGTACACACTATGTAACCAGGAATGCACGGCAAATTGTTTTAATCGTTTTAACAGAGTGCTTTAGGTTGAAGTAACTCTTATTTTACAAACAACATATTTAGTAAACTGAACCATAACAGCGGGTTGGTTTCACTTAAGTTTTCTGGGTTAATTTAACCAATTTAAAAAAATAAAATAACTATCTGGTTTAGTACCGTCAAACTAATCTTTGTTTATATTAATCTTCCCACAGTTGATTTAAATAAATACTTATGGGTCAACTAAATTAATAGAGTTAAATGAACTAACTATTTCTTTTTTTCTGTGTAGGTGCACTTCTCAAATATTTTTAGATAATTACCGTTTTGGTGTTTGCTGTATAAAACATTTTCAACCATAATTCATGGTGTTATATTAACACCACTTGGTATTGGATTTTGACACCATTTTAGGATTACTTTTTACACCACAGATATTTTAAACAGTGTAATCAGGTGACAATATGAAGTAGTAAGAAATACTAATAAAGACTTTTATCCGTGTTATAGTCTTACAAAAAGCAAAACGAGAATGCTACTTACCCAAAGAGGAATGCAGGGTATTAAGTACTGGAGCTGAAAGCAACTTACAATCTTTGGTTGATCTTAAGATGAAGCGTTTATCAATAGTTTTAGAGGAAGTTCTCATAACCCTAAAAAACATTAATGATAGTCTAAAACTTATTTGCAAATGGGGTTGTGATGGCTCTCAGCAAACGCAATATAAACAAAAATTTGAAAATGATGCAAACTCTGATGCTAATATATTCCAAACTTGTTTCGTTCCTTTAAGATTAGTGTGCAGTGAAAGTGGCGCTAAAATTGTTTGGGAAAACCCCTCCCCCTCTTCTCCGTGATATTGCCGTCCCATTAGGTTTCGCTTTGTGAAAGAAAGCACGGATTATTATTACAGAGGAGGAAATCAATTATATTGAAACATCAGCTAATTCACTTTTTTTTAAGTGAACTATGTGTTTATAATGACAATGGTTGACGAAAAAGTGTGCAATGCTGCGGTGCAACATCCAAAGTTCAATTTCAATAAAGACATTAACCTGAAAGCGACAGCGTTCGGGCTGTCTATCTTACATGCACGAATTCGTTTATTTGAAAGTGTACTTCATTTGTCTTATAAATTGCCCGTAAAAAAGTACAGAGAGAGAAAAAGTGAAGAAAAAAAAAAGAGCTTGAAAAGGAAAGAAAATTGGAGATTCAGGCAAGATTCCGAAAAGAGAAAGGTCTTTTAATTGATATGCTAAAGGCAAATTTCGGCAACATAAATGATGGAAATACAAGTCGCAGATTTTTTGAAGACCCCACATTGGTTTCTTAAATAACTGGTATTAGTTAGGTATGACCTTATATATAGATTAAAGGTTAAAGTCGAAACTATTTCAAGTGGACATTTAATTGATAAGAAAAATTTGACAAGTATGCTCAAGATACTGCGCGCTTGTATGTGGAACTTTATCCTTGGCATCCTATGACCCCCAATATGCACAAAATACTCGTTCATGGTGCAGTTATTATTAAACACGTGTTGTTGCCTATTGGGCAGCTTTCAGAAGAGGCTGCGAAAGCGCGGAAAAAACATTTTATTTTATCGTCAAAACTTTGCTAGGAAATTTTCAATGGAAAACTGTAACAGAGATGTTTTTAATAGATTACTTTTAAGTTCCGATTCCCTCTTAAATAGCATGAGGATATTAAAAAAAGAAAATTGAACTCTTTTCTGCCAGAAACAATTGACCTTCTTTTACCAGCAAAGCCGAATATTAACGATAGTTATATTCAAAACTTTTCTGACAATACAAAATCTGATAAAATAAATTCTATTTAAAAAATTATTCTATGTTTGTTTTACTTCCTAAAAAGGTATAAACACACGTAGGTCTTTACTTATATTTACTTTTTAGATCATATATTTTATTTAACTAAATATAATTAAAACCGCCCAGATAGTTGTTTGACGTATTATTGTGTTATTCAAATATACCACACGTTTTTAAATTGAGCTTTAATACTAATTTAAAAATTCTACATCAAAAATAAATAATATGTACGAGGTGTGAAAATAATTACATTTTTAGGGAAATATATTACTAAGACGTCTTAAATAGAGACTCTATTAGATATTATACATATTAGATATTATACACTTCTTTTGTATAATTTTTAGTTCTTTCAGGGATGTGCTTTTAACATCATATATGATTTAAGGTCAGGGGCGTAGCTACCGCGGTATCAATGATACGGGGCCCCCGGCTATGGGAGGCCCCGATTGGCTTCGACATGCTTAAGCAAAAAACATATTACCCACATTAAAAAAATTGAGACATGGAATTAAATAAATAAATATTAGTATTATTTAATTGTTTATACTTCGGTTTATTACGAATTGTTTCTGTCTGCACCTTTCCGCTATGCGTTGTCTGCGCATATTGTTCTGTGCCCCGCGCCGCATACTGAGTCTTCTTTGCGTGGTTACAATTATTTCAAATGACTTGCCTTTATTTTAAAATTGAAACCTATTAAAAGATGTTGAAGGACGGTAAATGTCTAAAACCAGACCAAATTTTAAAATTTGCCTGTACATAAAAAGCTTCTAATATGGAGACTGCCCGGGCAACATACAGTATTTCTATTATAACAGCAAAATGGCAAAAATAGCAAAATGGCGAATCGGAAAGAACCTTAGAAAAACGAAAACTCTCGATATTTTCTGAACAGTCCTATACTGCCCTGCTAAGCTAAACCACCGTATCTACAATATTAGGTAATAGGGGACAAAAATCATTTTAATTGTTAAAAACAATAAAAATCATATTTTGTTCTTTATTACTTAATATTGTAGATACGGCAGTTTAGCTTAGAAATGCAGTATATTTGTACCCCAGAGCCAAACTGTATTAAGTCCATTTTTTTTAAATTACATTACCTACACATTTTTTGGCAACATTATTCTGCTCTTCCCAATAGTAAACAGGATTAAGTCCTGGCTTACTTCGTTTTTTGATGTATCAAATACTATGTAAGCCAGGACTTAATCCTGTTTACCTTTGAACAGAGCGAAAAAACAGAGGTAAATTTTTTTTTATGTATATATATACCTACATATGAGTACCTTAGATGCAAAACTCGGTTTTTGCAAATTAAAAAATAAAATAAAATTGACTTTAAATTCTGTTTAGTGTTCGTCCTAGATAAATGGCGTTCATAAAACTTGATACATAATAATATTATATTATATATGGATGTGTGAGATCGAGCGCTCTTAGTTCCTATCCACAATAAAATTCTTAAAGAAACATAAATATTATGTACAGTGTAGTCGAGTAAAGTGCGGTGCGAAACAGTGCTACTATTTTGGGTTTCTACATACCTGTACAGGTGAAATCAGGGTACCTGTTCTCCAAAGGGTTAATAGAAACATTAAATAATTCCTCAAAAGGCAATCTCTCCGTGAACACAGGGGTGAGGTCCGTGCCGACACGGAAGTAATAAAGTGACAGGGGACAGGTCATGGAATCACCTATTTAAAGAAAAAACGAGTCTAACCAAGAGTGGAAGGGCATGACCTAATACGCAAATCCGTAACAAAAACCTGGCAATAATTAATCATTACAGATAACAGCGTAGGAGTGTAAAAAACCAAGACAAGTAAGAACGTCATAATATTCAGTGATGTAACCGATACATTTTTTCTCTGGTAGATGTATCTGGGTACAGATACCGATACATTTTCCCAAAAGTATCTGGGTACAGATACTGATACATTCAAAAAGTATCTAAGTTACTTCCAGATACTATGTTAAAAAAACTTAAAAATTAAATGACAAAAAAAAAAATTTTGGACCTTATAAACAAGCGTGTTAACTATAAAATAAAACTGTTTTGATAAAATTGACGAAATATCCATGAAAAACGGAAATAAATTTGTAGTACAAATTCAAAATTATCAGAACGAAGAAAAATGCATTCAAAGCCAACTATAGGTAACCTACAGCGCTTTTGTTTAACTTTACTCACTAGTGCCTAAGAGTTACTTTATGCACTTCGCACTCCAAAGTGGGTTGAAGGGAAAAAGAAATAAAATATATTTTTATTATTTGTATTGTTCATCTCTTACGGGAGATATCAAGAATATCCAATGTAGGTATATATCCTGGATATCCATAGAGTATATCCATTGGATGTTCATTTTCCGTGTGGCCCACACGGTGTGGAGTTGCAATCAGGTTGGGTAAAATAAAATGTATCTTGTATCTAAGGATCTAGATACTTTCAAAAGGATCTAGATACTAAAGTAGATCCTGATTTTTTTAAGTATCTCGATACGTATCTAGGTACATAAAATGTATCTAGATCCAGTATCTAGATACATGTATCTCGATACATTACATCACTGATAATATTATATTATTGTATTATATATTATATAATATACGAGTTATGTGAGCCACCACTAATTTGTTTAGTTAGCATTTTTAGTTTCTCATTAAAAACTGCAATTACATATGTAAAGATATTCTCTGTTTGCATTTCATATTGTACGTTACTCTGCCATTTAGTTGTAAAATAAAATTTATCTTTTATAATAAAAAAGTGTTTTTATTAAGTAATAAACTTAACTGACGCAGTCTTGGTGGGATTAGTCGAAGTACAACATCGTGTTTTACTTGTGTTTCAACACTCTATCGACTAATAAACACTTATTGAACATCTAAGACATTTTTCGCAACTATTGACGAGTTCGGTCAACAGTGAACCCAAGGATTTTACCGATCCTGGATAAAATCTTGCGTGATTCGCCTGATTCATCGAGATCCAGTGGGAGCTGAGAAATCTACAGAGGATCAAAGGGCACTCGTTTCACATCAACAAGGAGCCGCAAGACCTGCAGTAGTCAAGGACAAAAATCGCCTTCAGAATGCTACAGGATCTTATACTGTAAGTCGTATTTATTTGTTTTTTGATTTTTTTAAGAGATCTTGTATTTAAACTGCCTTGAATTACTATTATTTGGTTAGAGCTAAAAGACGTCTTAACTCGAAATTTCTCTGATTCAAGAAATGAAAAAAACCTCATAATCGATTTAACCAATACGAGACAGAAACAAAACGAAACAGCACAATGTTTTTATGAACGGTGCTTATCTCAACTTGCTGCGTTGAACGCTCGGTGTACCCTACACGAGCCAGCCGGAAACAGACCTATCAAAATTGAACAATACCAAAAATTAACACTCAGCATTTTCCTAAACGGACTGTTCGAACCTCTTCGTACAAATATTTTAAATATGCTTCCTCAAAATCTACCAGAAGCGATCAAGTTTATTAAAGAAAGGGAAAATAATAATGCAATATTTAACCGAAATCGAAATTCAGTTAACCAAAATTCAGTTCAAAAACATAAAATAGCTCAAAAACCGTTACTTCAAAATTCATTTTCAAACTTTCAAAATTTTCCAAACTCTTCAAAATTTAATAATTTACCCATGCAAAACCCCCAATCTTCTTCATTTATGAGACCACCATATCAAAACAAAAATATAACGACTCATTCCGGTCAAACAAGAAATGTTTTTGCCCCGAATCCAAATTATCGACCCATTTACAAACCTATGCCTATGAGCGGAATTTCACAAAA